TCAATGGTATCGGTTATAAAAGCATAAAGGATGGTAGAGAATGAAAGCATAGGATATCTAGCCAATATAGTAGATACTCGTAAGGAGATAAAAGAAAAAGTAGAGGATATCGAAATAGTAAGAGAGTTTGTGGATGCATTTCCAAAGGGGTTAAATGTGATACCACTAGTGTGGGAAATTGATTTTTAGATAGAGCTAGAGCTATGAACTGCTCCAATTTTTAAGGCTCCTTATAGGATTACACCAATAAAAATGAAAGAGCTAAAGGAGTAGATACAAGAGTTACTAGATAAGGGATATATAAGCCCAAGTTGTTTAGCGTTGGGTGCACCGGTGTTGTTTGTAAAAAGAAAGATTGGACATTAAGGTTGTGCATAGATTATCGGGGTTTGAATCGAGTAAAAATTAAGAAAAGGTACCCTCTCCCTCATATTGATGACTTGTTTGATCGATTACAAAGGACATCGATTTTCTCTAAGATCTATTTATAGTCGAGGTACCATCGATTGGGAATTAAGGAAAGAGATGTGAAGAAGACTCGTTTTCCGAACTAGATACATTCACTATGAATTTCGAGTAATGCCTTTTGGACTCCAAATGCTCATGTAGCTTTTATGGACCTCATGAATTGAGTGTTCCATAAACACCTCGTCTTTATTTATGATATTCTAGTCTATTCTAAAAGAAGGTAAGAACATACAGAGCACTTGAAAATCATACTACAAATATTGAGGGAGCACTAATTGTATGCAAAGTTCAAGAAGTGTGCAATTGGCTCGATGATTTAGCTTTTTTGGGTCATATGGTGTCGAAGGATGGGATAAGAGTATATCCAAGTAAGGTTGAGGTGGTTCAAAATTAGAGACAACCTAAAACCGTGTCGGACGTATGGAGTTTTTTAGGAATGACTCGGATACTATTAGAGGTGTTTAGAGGGATTTTTGAAGTTGGTCGCTCCATTGATGAAGCTAACTAAGAAAAATGTTAGATTTTAGTGGGAAGATGAATGCGATACGAGTTTTCAAGAATTGAAGCAAAGGTTGATTACTACACTTATGTTAACTCTTCCAACTAACAAGGGTAACTTTACGGTGTACACAAAAGCTTTTAATATAGGATAGGGGCAGTATTAACGTAAGAGGGAAAACTTATAGCTTATACCTCAAAACGAGTTGAAACATTATGAAAAGAATTACCCACGTATGATTTAGAATATGCATTAATGGTGTTTGCACTTAAAATTTAGAGGCATTATTTTTATGAAGTGAGGTTTGAGATTTATACCGATCATAAAAGTCTAAAATATTATTCACTCGAAAAGAGTTAAATATGAGACGAGAGGAGATGGTTAGAGGTGTTAGATCATTATGATCATGTACTACATTATCATCCCGTGAAGGTAAATGTAGTGACATATGCCTTAAACAAAAAAACATGGGCAACAATGGAAGTAGTATCGATAAATATAGTGAGGGATCTAAAGGAGTTAAATCTAGAGGTGGTGCTTGAATGGAGGCGATAGGCTATCGGCTTTAGTAATAGAGCTGGATTTGAATTCTAAATCAAAAAATCAACGTCTAACCGATGATGAGGTGATTAGGATGAAGAAAGAAATAGATGAGAAAAAAGACTAGATTTTATAATAGATGATGATGTGGTGATGAGGTATCGAGGTAGGCTATGTGTGCCAAATGATAAGGATTTGAGAGAAGCAATTCGAGTGAGGCACATTCAACTCCTTATTCAAGTGCATTCCGGTGGTATCAAGATGTATCAAGATTTAAAATCGGTGTATGGTTGGAGAGGAATGAAGAAGGATGTAGTAAATCATGTAGCTAGATGTTTGACCTATCAACAAGTAAAGGTTGAGCATCGGAGACCATCCGGTTTTTTACAACCTTTGGCAATACATGAATGGAAATGGGAGCACCTAACTATGGATTTTTTCGTGGGGTTAATGAGGTCAAAAAAGGGATTTAATGACATCGGGGTTATTGTAGATAGATTAACAAAGTCGACTCTTTTTACCGATGAAAACAACTTTCAACATGACCTAATATGGAGAATTATATATGATGGAGATATTAATAAATATATTTTTGAGAATTATAGATAGGAACTAATCCTACAATCTTAGTGTAAATTATTAAAAATTAAAGGATTAAAATAGTAATAATAATTAATAAAATAATAATTAAATATTAATAAGTTTTACTAGATTTTAAAGGGAATGTTAGTGGCTATGAAAGAAGAGCATAAGTTTTAAAACATATATTAAAATTAAAGAGGAGGCATGAATGCCCATGAACAAAAAGAAAGTGACCATAAAAGAAGAAGGTTAATGGTCAAGAAAGAAAAGAAAGCGGTCATAAAAGAAAGCCATTTAATGGCCATAAAAGAAGAAAGTTAGTCGTCTTTTATTATTTTTAATTCATGTACTTAAAATTTCCAAATGTTTCAACTTCTCATGCTTATATAATGGGTGTTATGGTTCTCATTTAGGAAAGTCATTCCATAAGCTTATATTTCATTTAGACAAAATTTTTCGAACATCAAACGTTATTATTTTGTTTTTTCATACAACATAGCAATGATAAAATATATATACTATCATTTTATATTTTAAAATTAATATATATTTTAGATTATATTATTTTTATTATTTAAATTTATCAATTTTTATGAAAATTCTCATCTAATTAATAGTTTTTATATAAAAGTTTATTTACTAATAAATGTGTTTTACCTTTCTCTTGGTTTGCATTTTAATATAAAATTTTAAAACATGATGATTTTACCTTTTTGAAAAAATAAAATTGATATAATAAATATAATTAAATATTAGAATTTTTAAATGATAGCATGTGTGTGTGTTCGTGCGTGCATTTATATATATATATATATGAAATATTAGAATTTTTAAATGATAGCGTGTGTGTGTATGTGTGTGTGCGTGTGTGTGTGTGTATATATATATATATACACGCACACACACACCCTATCATTTAAAAATTCTAATATTTCATTATATATATTATATCAATTTTATTTTTTCAAAAAGGTAAAATCATCATGTTTTAAAAGTACATTTCAAATAATTTCTCTTAGTCCACTAAGTATAATAAAAAATATATAAAAATATTGAATTGTCAATATTATTAAAAATTAATTATACATCTTCACTTATAAAGCCAATTGTTTACTTTCAAATTATTTTTAAAACATTATAGACCAATTTTTTTAAATAAAATAATTTAAATAATTTTTTAAAGGAACCATCTAATTATTCAAATATAGTTTATTATGCTAACATTATTGGTTAGTTTGTAAATAAATATATATAAATCAAATGCATATATTTTCAAAAAATAATCTTCTTATCAGTATTAAATAAAAATAAAAAAATTATTTTATATTATTTAGTTTTTATACAAATTTATACATTAATTGTAATCATTTTTTAATGTAATTTATGAAAAAATATATTTTAAAGTATTTTTTATTGATATTTCAGTTTAATTTGTTATCAGTTTTCATTTAAAAATTCATATATAAAAAGAATAAATCATATTTTTTAAAAATAAAATTTATAAAAATAATTATAAAATAATTTCGTTTTGTCCCATTCTTATAGTAACCAGATAGTAAATTCTAGAAACCCTAAACACCAACCTTGCTTAAAGAGCTCTATAAATTATAAACATTCCCCCTTCCCTGGCCGTCGATCAATCTTGCTTTAAAGGAAAAAAAAACACTGAAAAACCCTATGTTTCTCTCTTAGGAAAAGATCACCGTCATGGCTCGAAAGCGCCCCATTGAAGAAGCTCCACCTGCCGCTTCATCTTTCGAGGAAGAAGAAGAAATCGAAAGCGAAGAAGAAGAAGAAACTCCAAACGGCACCATCCAAACCGAGCAAAATGATGCCGATTAGAAACAAGACGATGGCGATGGTGGCCGTGAAGATGATGGAGACAATGAAGCAGAAGATGATGATGAAGAGGGGAAAGAGAAACCCATTCTTCTGCCCTCTAAACCTCTAAAACCCAGCTCAGAAACAGACTCAGAAGATACCGAGTCAACTGAGCCACAATCACCTTCTCTTTCTGGTTTCACCATCAAGCCCATTTTGCCAAAAAAACACAAACCAGCCCAAAACTGGAGTAGCCCAAGATGGAGAAGGGCGGTGATGCCAAGAAAGGCAAGAGGCGAGCTGGAGCTGGGGCTAAGGGATCTCACCGTTTATGGAGTGATGAAGATGAGATTTTGATATTAAATGGCATAAGTCAATACCAAAATGAGAAAGGGAAAAGTCCTTTTGCGGATACTGGTGATTTTCATGGTTTTCTGAAGGAATCACTTCATGTTAATGTTACTAATAAATAGTTTACGGATAAAATCAAGAAGTTGGAAAAGAAGTATTTCACTGAGGTAGGGAAAAATGAGAATGAGATAGATGATATTTTTAGTAAACAGCATGATTTGGAGTATATGGAGTTAGCAAAGAAGATTTGGGGTGCCAGTGGCACGGAGGTAGGGAAGGAGGGCAACTCTCGTAAAAAGAGTGGAAAAATTGTTATTAGTGGTGGTGGAAGCGATGGTGGAGGACGAGTAGGAGGAGGGATTACTTTGGCCTTGCCAAGAAAGGGGAGTGATGAAGTGAATGGAGAGAATGGGAAGGTGAGTGTGAAGAAGAGGAAGAGGGGTTCGAGTGAGGAAGTGAATAGAGAGGGAAAGGAAGGGGATTTGAAGAAGCAAAGGCAAGGTCACAATGAGCAAACTGATAGGGGAGAGAAGGGCCAAGTGAAAAGGGGAATTTATGTTGACAAACCAAAAGATTCAAAGTCCCATTTGTCAACCTCTCTAAAGGCTCCCAAATGGAGTCTAAAGAACCAAAAAATATAAACTCTATATTGCATCAATAACAAGCAGACCTTCCTATACTCATCAATAATGAAGGACCAAGAAGCCACATCCTTGTCAGGCATTTCATCAAATAGCTTCTATGCCTCCTCCATCTCCCCACGTTTCACATACCCACCCGCCAATAAATTCCAAGACACCAGATCCTTACTTCCACACGTATCAAACCCCACCTTAGCCAATCCCACTTCCCCACATATACAGTAGATTCCAATCTAAGCCCTCCCTTCACAATCTCCCCATAAACCCTCCTTCCCTTGCACCAGCCCACTGTCAACCCACATGCCTTTATCACAAAAAGGTATGTGTAATTATCTCCTGAAGCCCTATTTCTTCTCATATTAACATAAAAGTTGAAACCCTTTCTTTCTTTCTTTTTTTTTTTTTTTTTTTTAGTTTGAGCTCTTTACATAACATTTGGTCGTGGGATTACCCATGTAGGTATTAGGCTGGTCAATTTGAGTGAACAAGACTTAACATTTGGTCGTGGGATTACCCATGTAGGTATTAGGCTGGTCAATTTGAGTGAACAAGACTTCTGCATACTTCATGTTAAGTATGCTTGGTGATGTTACAGAGGAAAGTAATTGGTTTGAGGTAAAGGGTTTAGTGATAAGATTGGTCGTGATGAGTTGGATGTGAATTTGGAGGATTTGGGACATTGTTTTTTAGTTTTAAATGAGGAAGAGTAGTCGGTTTTTCAAGTTGATCTTGGATGCACTTGGAGTTTTCATGGTGAGTAGTAGTACTATATGAAGAGTTTGACATTTTGTTTTCAAGGGTTTAAGAACCTTGATTTTGTTCTTGGTGACGAAAAAAGAAGTGAAGTAATCATGTTCCAGTAAATTCTGCTGGAGAAACATGAGTAAGACCTCATGTAAAATTTAATATTTTACTTCAAATAATACAAAGGTGAAAGGTTGTAGCCTACTGAAATATTGTGTCAAACTTCCATTAGATTTCCATTCAATCAAAACTGGTTATCAGATGATAAAAAACATTTGATTAATCAATTAATTTATATTTATTAAACAATTTAGCTATTTTTGTATCATGTGAATAAAAAGTTATTTATTCATATATTATACATTTATTTAATTAATTTTGCATTATATGTATCACTTCAAATAATAAATGCATTTTCTCGTTAAGTTGCATGAAAAGGAGAAAATCATCATTTTTTTTTTGTCAATAATTTTTTATTTTAATTAAGAGATAAATGTCTTATGTCATTAATGGATCACTATTAAATAAATATAATGACATCATTATTGTCATCAATTGTACAAAAATGATTTTGAAAGTATGTCTTTATTTAATGAATACATTTTATGTTTCTTTGGTTGGTATGAAGTAGTTGCAAATCTTTTATCCATTGATCGACGACGGACTAGGAATAATCTTAATTGCTCATCCACGTGTTATCTAGATGGATTTTGTCTATTCGATCTTTATTCAAATGCAATGATATTGATGTAGACCACAATTCTTCCATGCGTTGTTTTTTAACGAGGCCCAAAGGCTACATATAGATCATATATTATGATACTTTGATATAGTTTGCTACTCTTTGTTAGATTTAATTTTTTCTTTTATGAGCTAAAGACCATATTAACACCAACTTAGATTATAGAGAAGCAAAAGACAATTTGTATATGACAAGCATGAAGCAACCGCACAAAATAAAAAGAAAAAATTGAATGAAAAAATATATATAATAGGTCTAAAACATTTGATGAAAAAATAAAAAAGACTCATAAGAACAAAAATTGAAAATCCCAAGCATGGTTTGTCCGGACCAAATATCTCACTATAGCATATTGTGAAAAGTATGAGACAAGCCGACTCAAAGGAGTTTGCCTAGAGGTTAAAAAAATATATATATTTCCTTAACTTTTTTTAGTTTAAATTTTAGAACTAGCATCTAAAAAAATTTATCGAAATTCCTTTGAATGCACAAGTTGATATGAAATATGTATTTTTCAAATCATTCAAAAATAAGATTTAATCTCGATTAGTTGATGCACATACAAATTTGAAAATACTCGTATCATCCAATAAAAAAAAAACACAAGATAGCTTGAAAACTATTTAAATTAGAATTAAGATGGAATAAAAACTATACTAAACCTATTAGGTATCCACACATGATAAGTATAAAAGAGAAAACTAATGTACTCGAAGTACACATACCACATAGGTCCTATCATCCATCATAAAGGCTAACACGTATAGAAAAGATCTCACCTTCGAGCATGACGAAGTCTTTAGAAAAATACCTACCGAACAATACGTCATTCAACTATATCTTGAACGAGTACATTGAGTCATTTAAGGAGCCTCCCCACTCGTCAAAGGGCTTGTCTAATCATATCTCAAGAAACATGGCCTCTCATTAATAAAAAAGATAGAATATACACTCACTAAATACATGCAAGTTTTTAAGATATTTTTTGTCAAGTAGACAATTTATGTGACATCATCACTTATATCAATAGTAACGTGTCAATTTCCAAAATAATTATTCTTAAATCGAGTTTATGAAATTATAGGTGGCAAGGAAATTAACGATATTGCCTTTTTCTTGATGTAACATGACAAAAAAAAATGACTATATAAACAATTATGAGTCTTAGGGTTAAGGATTTCACAATTTATTCTTTACGTAATACCTTAGCCAAAATAGTATTAAGATAGAATATTACTAATTCCATTAAAATCATTATAAATGCATGTACTAGGATTTTGTAGCAAAGTTCATATATGTGTATATTAAAGAAAAATATGAAAGTAAAGAATTTATCACAATTTCATAAAATATTTATTCGATAGTTTTGAAATAAGACATCGAGAGAGTTCTTTATTTCTTCCATAGGCAAAAAAGAGCTTCTATTGTAGATTGAAATATCTTTCTTTAGTTTCTTCTTTAGCATTTTTATCACCATGAACCTAGCCCTCATGCATTAAAATCTAATAATAGCCCGATTCTATAGGTTCAACTTTAAACTCTCATTTCGAACAACTTCAAATAGGCTCAAAAATAGAAGTTTATCCTTCCTATTTTAGGGCTTGAAATACTATAATAACGAGCTTATCTTTACACTCCAACTTCTCCGATTGTTTTTTTTTTTTGTTTCATTCATCCTTGATTATTAGCAAATTTCTTAAAAGAATGGGACATTTTGGGAGTTGTTAATAGCGTTGGTTATAATTATTATCATTGTTATTGTCATTTTGATATTCACAAATAGAAGAGTGTTTAAACATTTTTTTTAATCTCATAATTAATTTTTTTATAATTTAGAATTAGTTATATCAAATCATACCAGTTTTAATGGGTGAAAGTCTATCTTATTAAAATATAATTATTTGATAAAAAGATTGAAATGAATTCTTTTATAATGCTTAAATTGTATTCGAGTGATTTCCAAAAAAACAATTACCTTAATAATATTTATATAAATAAGAAAAATTAAAAGTGATTGACTATTATTAGCTATATTTTAGGATAGGTTCAACAATCAATGAAGCAATTAAATGATTTTTGGTCACCCCATTAATGGATGTACCAATACGAGTGATCTCTAAATTGAAAGTTGCAAAGAGTAGAACATACGATGGTTAAGGAAATGCTTATAAGGGATTTTGGAAGGGAAACTTTTGCATTCTCCCCATTTTTTTTCTCCTGTCGGTAGCTTATTAAGCCCTTTACGTAATCTTTTGATTCTTTTTCCGATACACCTTCTTTAAATCATGTACAAAATCACATCAACCCTCTTGCTCTCACCCTATAGGAATAAAAGGAAGGGAGAATAAGAATTAGATTATCATTAATAGATCATTTAATTTTAATTGCATTAAAAGGTCTTTCAATTTTACATACCATAATAGTAGCCAAGTCATGATTTAATTGAGTAATTAGGGAAGACTAATAGATTAATTTGAGGCCGTGCTTGAAGCAATCAAGTGAACTTTCTATTGTGGATCAACGATAATGCGGATATTTATTTATTGCTTTTATTTATTATTTATTATTTATTAAGAATAATTCAAATTAGAAAAAGAATATGAGAGTCCTAATTGGTGTGATATTTTAATTAAGACTTTCTATGTTAGTGTGATTCCGTTTAGGTAATAGCCTATTAGGGTTTGTCTTTATTTTTCAGCCGCCTATACTATATAAAGAGTGGATGCTTTACGAATAAAGGTATCAAATAATTCGGTTAAGAAAAACATAAGAGAGTTGGTGGTATTTAAAACAAACCATTCATTGTTATCTATTCACAATAGGTTCTTCACGGAAGAATTGAAACATGAATAAGGGAAAGCTAATTGATTTCCCTATTAATCGACCCTTGACAAGATACTTAACTCAAGACCATAACAAGTTAATATCGAGCCGATCGTCATGGGTGATTACGAGCAATTAGCAACCGGGGTTGAAGATTTGAGTCAAGCACTTGCGAGAACTCAAGGATGGCATGAAAGCTATCCAAAGATTGCTAGAGTTGCAATCATTAGACAAGGGTAAGGCATCGAAGCGAAATAGGATCCGGTAGCAATAGTCGACCAACCTACCAACCAAGCAACAATGAATCCTAAGGGCCGCACTAGTGCCAAGTGGTTCCCGGATATTCCAAATTGGAGTTTCCCTCTTCTAGTGGAATGAAGGATCCGTTGGGGTGGCTTTACTACCGTGAGTAATTTTTCTTGAATTAATGGACTAAAGAAGCGGACAAGGTAGGCCTAGTCGCTTTTCACATGACAAGTGAGGCTCAACCATGGTTCTTTCGACTATAAAAAAAAGAGCCGAATATCACTTGGGATCAATTCAAATCCTATTGTTCTTTGAGATTTGGCCCTCTACCGAGTAGTAACCCGTTAGGGGAGCTAGCTAATTTGGAACAATCCAAAATACTAGAGGAATATCGAGTCAATTCTAGACACTCCTAGCTAGGGCTATTTCTATTAAGGGTGAGCGACGAAGTTGATTTGTTTACTCGTAGAACTTATAGAGGCATTACGGGTGGATATGGAGATGCGGCGACCCCTTAATCCGGCTACATCTATGAATTTAGCTCGGGCTTTTGACAAAAAGCTATAACTCTCTAGTGGAATTGGAGTGAGAAGCACTCTTTCTAACTGGTGTCCCCCAAAAATGACGAGTTTAACTCCTTCACTCACTATCAATCATGAATCAAAACAAGTGGGAGGAAGTTTGCCCATGGTTTTCGACAAGAGAAGTACATCAACACATTTCATTAAAAAGTTATTAAGAGCAGAAATGGAAGAAAGGCAAGCAAAGGGACTTTGTTACAATTGTGATGAATCATTATTTATTGGGCATCGATGTAAACGTCCGTTCCGCTTATTGGTGGACAACTTTGACGAGGAACCGGATCCACTATGGATCTCGAAATCTCTCTTCACACCATAGCGAGCACTAGAAATGCACCTTAATTATGCAATAAAAGAATTGGTTACTTCCCTATAGGGCACTTATCCTCATTTTGAGCTTGAGGAAAAGCTCAATGTCTAAGAGGTATGTAATGTTGTGGATCAACGATCGTACGGATATTTATTTATTGCTTTTATTTATTATGTATGAAGAATAAGTCAAATTAGAAAAAGAATATGAGAGTCCTAATTGGTGTAATATTTTAATTAAGACTTTCTATGTTAGTGTGAGTCCGTTTAGGCAATAGCCTATTAGGGTTTGTCTTTATTTTTCGACTCACCTCTACTATATAAAGAGTAGATGCTTTCCGAATAAAGGTATTGAATAATTTAGTTAATAAAAACCTAGGAGAGTTAGTGGTCTCTAAAACAAACCATCCATTGTTATCTATTTATAATAGGTTCTTGACGAAAGAATCGAAACGAGAATAAGGGAAAGCTAATTGATTTCCCTATTAATCGACCCTTGACGAGATATTTAACTCAAGACCATAACACTTTCTCGCTATGGTGCATGTGACTAGTATATAAGAATGGACAAGAGATACATGACCACTAGTTGAAATCCATCTTTTCTTAAGTATTCATCCAGAGTGCTTGTTGTTTCGCCAAATCACCTTACTTTTGCCAAATAAGATCTATATAGATTTGTCCACCGACAAACAACAAAATTGTGTATAGTTTTATATACATATACGGAGTAGTAGAGTATTATTGAAGTAGTCTTCGCATCAATTAGCACTAAGTTCATTATTTTTTGTATTAAGCTAGCATCGAACACATCTAATTTTTAGTCCACCACTTGGCTACTGTGTAGGCCAAACTAATCAAAACTAGACACTACTAAAAAAAATAATTATGATTATATATATATATATATATGAATGATAAGAATTGAATCTTGATTTTAACCAAACCAAAACAACTTCTTTACTATTAGATCATGTCCCTTGATGGTTATCTAGAGCTAATTAGTGTTCCAATATATATAATTCAACATATGACATTAGATATGTAAAAAAATAAAAATAAAAAAATTGTCACCATGACCTTAGTAGCTCTCCTAAATCATGTTTTATGTTGGTCATCTACATATAGATTGATGCATTAGACAAAAAAAAAAAAAATCATTTTTGCAGCAATTGTATTGATTAAATGCCCGATAAATATGGATCCATTCGATGTTGCAATACAACTTAAAAGAAAAAAAATATTATATACCTCATCCGCTAGGTAGTGTAAAATATTTAGGTGATGGTCTTCCATTATATTAAACACCATTTGAGTACCAATGTTATGCAAGGCAAGATAGCATAACTTCATATTGTCCAAAAGGTCATCCATGGTACTAGAAAGTGAATGTTTGGTTAGAGTAATTATACCAAAAATTTGTGCAAAAAATTAAAACAAGGTACATTTTCAATGCTTTTGTAAAGAGCTCAAGCTCGTCTTCCAATCCATGAACTTTGTATATATCATCTATTGGTGTTAAAATGAAACTAAATTGAGTGATGCCTATCCTACAGTTGGAGTATTGGGGCTCGGATGTGATCCCCGTTACCCACAAATAGTTTTCGATTAATCAATTTGACAAAGAACTTAGCTTCTTTGTAAATCCTAAGTTACTCCACCAACTAATCAAGCACATTCGTTAGCTGAAATTAAGGTACTAACTATTGCAATAATATTTGTGTTGGGGTAAAGTAAACAATTTACCCTTCTAGTTCTTTTAACTTCCATTGATATTCTGATTGTACCATGTTGTAATCCCACTTGGCAAACTAAAGCAAATCCAAGTTCCTCTTTTCATTTCTTGAATAAATATTAATGAAATTTCAACCTCAAACCTAGGCATCCTCCAATGTAAAGGAACTTCCAATGATCGTTGCACTCGGATCGGCTATAGCATCATCACCTTGAAATTTCCCTAAGATCAATGACTTGAGATGTCCGGCACCGAAATTTTTGGCTTCTTCTAAAACTTCTTCTCCAAGCGCCGAAGGTGTAAAGCTTCATATAAACTCGAAGTCCCTCAACATCCTCCCTTAAGCTCGCCCATGAATTTCCCATCTCCCCCTTTGAATTTCTCAAACACATGTTTTCAAATGCCAAAAAAAAAATAAATCTTGTAATAGTAGATATCATTTCTTTATTTTACTATACAATATGATTACAAACCAAGCCATGGAGGCCTAGTTGTAATGGCTCGAAAGGACCGACATACACATATATTTGTTAATATTTAGGAAACAAAAACATATTGTTCATAAGATAAATTAGTTAAACTGTTTTGCACCTATATCTATATGCTATCACCCGAGCTAACTAAAAAGGCATGCCCTTGGAGAAGCTAAAAATGTAATGAAGTTGGGTAAAGATTACTAGCACTTCTTTAATCACTTTTTCAAAATGATATGCCACTCCCAATATTTGCATTCAATCAATTAGATTTAACATGGCATAAGTTTCTTTGGTGGATTTGAGTAGTATTCTTGCCTCTTGCCTCAACTCCTCCAATCGGATGGCATGACACTCATACTACATTACAAGCTACAAGTTAGTGACAACATACATCTAAAAACCAAAAGCTAAACAAACTCGTAACTATATATATATAAGCACAAACTCTAAACATTTAATAATAAAGAAACTTGACTACATTAATTTTGTTGAGCTTCTCAAAATCAAAAGCAAAACAAATTTATAACTATATATAAAAACACAAACTCTATCGTAACATGTGATGATAAAGAAACTCAACTACAACATTAATCTCACTAAGCTTACTTACCGACTAGGGAGTGTTTAAGGACTTTATGAATTTGGAACCCCAAATGTTAGGATGGTCATTAGATGAGTGCTCGTTTATCCATGGACTTTGAAGCTACTTTAAGAAAGGGTAATGCCATTTGGTTTTGCCTCGTTTCTTGTTATCGAAGGCCATGGTGAAAGTAAGAGTTATTCGACAATGGTGAAAGTAAGAATTAAGGGAAGTTGAACTTGTTAAAATTTGAAGGAGTGGGCGGAAGATACAACTAGTGTTTCCGGGACGACTCGAAGTGTTAGTCTTTCATCCCAAGATCATCAAGGAGAGAAATTTGTTTAATAAACCTCTTTATCAATAAATGAATAATCTAAACATTTGGTTGAGAGCATGGTATTGATTGCACATTAAAAAAGCTCGTATGGTATTTTGGTCACGCAAGCCTACGACAAAGGTGCTAAATAAATTTAATATATTAATTAAAAAATAAAACTATTCATGATTGTTACACCCATCATTTGGATTTTCTAATAAGTTAAAGAGTTAGTTATAGCAAGATAACTACTTGGGCTATGCTTCCTAATTGTTTGGAGAAAATGGATAGTTACAGGAAAAAATGAGACATGATCAAGATAATAAAGTATTGCAGTTCGAGAATAAGAAGCCACAATAGAACATGGAACACTACCAAGGATCATGGAGGAGCCAAAAGCCTATAAATTTGAAAAAAAAACAAAAACAATTAGATGTGTAACTATTTATTTACTATTGCTACACACTAAATTCTCTTATTCATGCACACCCAAGTGAAATGTGTGCCTTTTCTCCGATTTGTTTTTTCCTTTGGTGTGGCATGTGTATGTTGCTTTGATTTCAGCCCTAACCTTTTAATTAATTTCTTTGTTGCCATTGATATAATTTTTTCATTTACTTATTTACCCTTAATACGTCTTCATCTTTTTGTTTGTTGCTGTAGCTAAGTTTCTCCTTTCTTTCAATGTAGCTCTCTCTTTCTTCCTTTGTTTTCTCGCCCTTCAACCCAACTCTCCTTCGTGTATATTGTTTTCTCTATTTACTCATATGCCCTTCAAATAGATTTTTTTATTCTTTTTTATTCTTTTATACCTCCTCATTAAATGTTGTTGTTGAATTTTTTAAAGGGGCTCTTTTTTGCCTTTCGAATCTTCCCCGATGGCGTCATTTATAGACCCATTTGGTATGTTTGGGGGCTCAAATTGTGTTATGGAATGAGATTCTCTTAAAGTCTTCCTTATTTTGTGTTGGGGTTGTTCTACTATCCCTTCCCTATTTCGTCGTGATTGTTTTGCACTTGAGTTTCCTTGGACTCGAATCGATTTCTTTCATCATTTTTGTTGCCCAACACATCCTTTGTTCTTGCGAGTTGTCCATCGCTAGGGGCCCATCCCTTTGTCTCGTTATTTTAGGATTTGATTTGTTGTTTGGGTGTTTGGTTTCTCTTCAACCATATGAATCTTCACTTCATTCGATTTGAATTGGGTCGGGATTTATTTCATCATTGTTATTGGACATTGCATCATTTTCTTTAGGGTTGTTGTTGGTCGAGGGCCCGATCTTTCATCCGTTGTTTTGGGGTTTCTATCTAACCGGATAAACATATTTTTCCTCATATTGCCTAATTGGTCATTTTTGCTCTTTCCTTTGTACCTCTACTTATAAGTCCTTCCTTGGTTTGTTTGTTTTCTTTATTGTCCCGCTTCTAGATGTTTTCTCTTGGTAATGGAGGTCGGTTACCTATCTTTATCTTTCCTTGAGTGGCGCATCATTCTCTTATACGACTAATTTATGTTTTGATTCTTTGTATTGTGCTTCACCTCACATCATTATTTGTTTATGATGGGCTGTTCTTGGTGACATGCTTATTGTTTTTCTCTTTTCTTTGATCTTTGTATAGCTTTTTTTTCTTCTCTATTTTCTTCATTTGCTTTGGAGCCTTTTGGTTTGGAATTGATGCTTCATCATTTTATTTTGACTCCTTCTCTTTCTATTCTGATATTTGTGTTTTCTTCTATATATGGTTTCACATTTTTTTTGTTCTACTTTGGACATTTGGATTGCTTGGTTATTGTTTTGAAGAAATGTAATGCTTTTAACAAATGTGTTTTTTCCTCTCTATTCGTTGCCTTTTTTTTATGTTTGTTATTAGTGGCCTTGCTTTCTTCCTATTTTTTAATTTGGAATCAATGCGATGATTGTTTTCATCTTGCACTGTCCGAAATCACAGGTGTCGGCTTTTTTCTTGCTTTCGGTTGTTCGATTTGTCCGGATACACTTTCTTATCTTTTTACATCTTTTTTTCCACTAACTTTTTATGTTGTTGGTTTCCTAAGTTATGTCTTTTGTTTTCCACTTACTTTTTGGTATTTATTTCTCCGATTTAAAACATTTTCCTAGGTTTTTTCTTTTCTTTTTTTTGATGCTACATACTCGATTTTTTAAAAAATATCTACATTGTGTTGCCTCCGGTGCACTTTTTCCGCTTTCTCGGGTAGGATAACCATCTTTGGATTTTCATTTGCATGTTCCTATATGAACATTTTCTTCTGCAAAGTCTTTTTAGGTGTTCGGTTCCGAATCGGTTTCTTTCTCTTGAAATTGTGTAGGTTTCTTATCATTCATGTGCTCTGCTTCTTCTATTGGGATAGGCTAGTTTCTTTTGTTTTATCTCTTTTTTTCCATTTGCCTTTCTTTTCCTATTTCGTTGTAGCAACTCTTTTGTTTTGCTTTTTCCCGATGGTTACTTATAATGAGCTGCATTATAGAAGAATAACAATGTTTTTGTTACAATTCGGAGAAGCTAACAATTGACCTCCGGGAGGTGATTATTGAATCACTCGCTCACAATGTGGTGATAGTTATTTCTCTCTTCATTAAATATAATACAAGGTAAGTGAATGCTCATATTTCCATGCTCGATTGTAAATGACTTTAATATTTTAACAAGAAATTGCTTTCTTAATTGCTATGCTCGCCAAATTTAGATTTAGATTGAAGCCAATGTTTGACAAACAATTTGCTATTGCGGGAATGTTAGGTTTTTTTGCGGTAGCTAGAAGCCGATTGATCATAGATAATAATAAAGATAAACTACGAAGCCGATATCTTGGCTAATGCTACCGGACAAAAACTTATGTATTTGTGTGTTTATGTGTATAGCAATTGATCCTTTAAAATAAGTTCATAGAATATTGGTTAATACTATACGTTGCTATTTTCTTCTTTTTGGTTTTGATTAAATCAAAAGACCTTTCACCGATTAAGTTCTAAAGTTCAATAGCGATGCTTGATTTCTTAGTGTCGAGTAATGTTTACATGCAAGAAAACTATTTTAGATCAAAACAATTGTACCACATAAAAAAAGTTAGAAGTCCAAACAATATCTTTTTCATTCTATTCTAACCAAGCAGTACTGCAAATAGATTCTATAATCGCCTTCAACACTTCATATATTTTACACGATGTGTCATAAAGGATCTAGGCTTATGTCTAGTTGATCCAAAATTTAAACTGCTTAGGTTGTTGTTGGGTTCTTTGATTGTTCTATATTGGTTTAGGAATCCATGGCGAGCTATTGGACTTTTCAACAAACTTACCAACCATGCAAATATAGCTTCAAACATTGTTAGATCGCCTTTGCTTTTTAGTAGTTACTTTGATCAAGAAGAAATTGACTGAATAACCTTTACTTTCATTCCGCAATTGGTATACCCTTCTCCTTGACAATTTGTATATCTATGGATCACCAAAATTTTTTTATTCATAGGGCTTTACATTAAACAAATTGAATGGCTATTCATTTATCTAGGTTTATTGTACACCATTTGAATATAAGGTAAGAATATGGAAAGTGCTTTTTTTGTTGCTTGCGTTTTGCCGACTTTCCACCATGGCATCATTTTGTTGTCATATAGACAAACCCTAGTTCCCGAGTTAGCTATTAAAATTTCGACTCATCCATTTTCTTTTTTTTGGTCTTTAATGAAAAAATGCACAAGATCGCAAGATTGTTTGGTTCATGCGATCAAGGATTAGATTCATGTCAAATAGACTTACCCCTTCCACCACTTATTAAATGTACGGATAGATCGATCAAATACATGTCCGATAAAAGACATTACATTTTTTGCATTTAGATATATCCGAAGAAAATCTCATCCTAACTATTTCAAAAGAAAAACTTAAAATATTTTAATAAATTATAGTAATTTGGTATAAATATATCGGATTTTTCAAAGAAAATCAATAAGGTAACTCGAATTTGCCACCT